TTACCCTAGACAGTGCACCATGAAGCATCAGTACCCTCAGCATCCATGACCCCTCAGCATCAGCAACACCCAGCATACGGCTTGGTGACCAGTGAGTCTTAACTGGTGGTTCGTACAGAAGCATGGGCAACTTGTGGGTAGTGAGACCACTCAAGAAAATAATCTCTTTCCTCTCCTCTGTACATCGAGGAGGGGTGGGAATCCCATGAGCCCCCTAGCTCTAGCAACTGCTAAGTAGCTGTAAATTCTTCACAGAAAGTTAATGCACCCTGTGTCATGTGGTTCCTGTCAGACAATCACAGGCACCTGACAGTTCAGGGGAGCAGTGAGCACAGCATGCTGGGATGGTGGTGTTCCTCAGTAGCTGGGCTTTCCAGTGGTGTGGACTCTGGTTACCTGTCCCAGGCAGGAGTGGGAAGCAAGGCGGGAGAGCGGTCCTAGACAAACTTGTCAAAGGCTTCTTGCTTGATACTGAGATGAAAATAATGGACAGTGTTCTTGAGTGTATAGTCTCTCTCCAGACACTTGCTGTCTCTTCTGGGTGTGCTATCCTCTGTGCTGGCTCTCCAGCATTGTGATAAAATGCTTGGGGGAAAAATCGACCTAGAATGGGGAAAGGTTTATCTTGGTTTTGGGTTTCAGAAACTCTCCTGCCATTGCCCCTGGACTTCATTGTTCTGTAGCCTGTAATGGGGAGAAGTCACTTGCTTCCTTTTTAAAAAACTACTTATTAATTTTATTTTATTTTATTTGCATTGGTATAGAAGGTGTCAGATCCCCTGAAGCCAGAGTTACAGACAGTTGTGAGCTGCCATATGGGTGCTGGGAATTGAACCCAGGTCCTCTGGAAGAGCAGATCAGTGCTCTTAACCTCTGAGCCATGTCTCCAGCCCATCACTTGCTTCCTTTAGAGGAACTGGGAAATGGAGAGACCAAATTTCTGCTATTTGGCCCTGTCTCTGAGACGTTCTGGTATCTCAACAGGCCAGAGGCTGAGGTCCCACCCTATGCACTGGCTAGGGTTGGGGGAACACTGGTAGATCCAAACCCAGCCTGCAGTGCTGCTAGGCCTGACTCCCAAGCTCCACTGTTTACAAGCCTTGTGACTTCAGGCCAGTCCCTCACCCTCTGTCACCCGTAAACCTGAAATGTCAATTGCGTCTGCTAATGGCTGGGAGCATTAAATTATGCTATAGTCACGGAGCGCACACGGGCGCCCGGCTCTTCACAGGCCCTTGACATTATTGTCGTTATTCCTACTTGACAGATAAGGAAATTGGGTCTCAAAGAGGTTAAGTGGCTGGCCCAGAGTCTGGTGGCCAGATCAAATTGGCACCAGATCTAATCTGACCCCTCTTAACCACTCAGATGCTGACTCAGAAGCTTGGGGCTGCGGCTGGCAACCACTGGGTGCGGCACTGGTCCCTGAAGTCTACTCCAGTGAGGGCCTCTCACCTGCGGGTTCCCTTGGCAGGGACTCCTCCTAGATGGTTAGCCTGGGGAGTCCTTTGAGCAGGCGTCTACTTTTTCAACATGTCAATGAGGCAATGAGTTTGCTCGTCTATGGGCCCGGTGCAGTTGTTCTTAGCCACCTGCCTTTTTTTTTTTTTTTTTTTTTGATATAATTTGGATGCAGCCAAAACGGAAGTCACTTCCTGCCAAAGGCCTTCTTCCGTGTTGCTTTCCGGCAGGGGGCGGGGCATGCACCTTACCTCTCTATGCTAGTTTCTCTCATCTCCGAGGGTTCCACCTTAGTGTAATTCCCCTGCTTCCCACCAGGTGTCCCACCCTTCCCTGGGAAAGGCAGACTTGGACTGGGGGAAGGGGGAGGGGCACTGTGTGTGTGTGTGTGTGTGTGTGTGTGTGTGTGAGTGAAGAGACTTCCAGATGCTGCTTCTTATCTCTAGACAAAAGGAACCGTCTACCTTGTTCTTCTTTGAAGCTCAGTTGGATCTCTCCAGAAAGCCTGGAGAAGTCACTGCAATTCAGGAAGCTTCTATTCCTGTTAAGGAATGGGTGTCTGTGTGGCCAGTCGGTCCCTTCCATCTCTGAGCTGCAGACTGCAATCTACAGTCACAGCATTCTTCTTTGGAGCCCTTCCAGCCTCCCCTCCCTCCTCAGATCCTCCTCCTTTCAGGGTTTGATTAAAAAAAAAAAAAAAAAAAAAAGACAAGAAGTCCTGGCCCCACCTGCCCTCAATATTCTTTGAATCAGGGAAGGTCAAAGGCCAGTATGTGACAGTGGCACTAACTAGCGTTCCTGCAGACATTAACCTAATTCATCCTCATTTTTCATGTTAGTATGGCAGAAATACTCCCCCATTCTGAAGCAAGACTGTCACACACTTCTCCTGCAGACGGCAAAGGGCAAATTTAGACAAGCTGAAAACACTGTAGTAGCTGGAACATTTGCAGTTCTAAAACTTGTGCTCATCCCAGGCAGGTGGCCCCTACCTGTCATTAGCCTTCCTCTCTCCCTCCCTCCCTCCCTCCCTCCCTCCCTCCCTCCCTCCCTCCCTCCCTCCCTCCCTCCCTCCCTCCCTCCCTCCCTCCCTCCCTCCCTCCCTCCCTTTTAGAAGATCCTGTACTCCTTGGAGAAGGTGGGTCAGGAGGAAAGTTCCATAGTCTTTCTCGCAGGTATTACCATCTGTCTTGGGGCTCTCTGGAGCTTCTCTAGCCTCAGAGTGGACACTGGACACCTCCTGTGGCTTAAACGACATGGCTGTGGTCTTGCAACCTGGCAGATTTTTCTCACCTGGAGATCTGCTGAGGGTATGGTGGGTTATCGTCATTTAATGCCAGCTTCAGAAATGGGAACATTTCTGCATGGGCTGTTTCCCCCCATTGAAGACCCTGACGTCCAGAAGAACACAGTGCTAAGGGAGTCCCTAGCATCTGTGTCCTACACCTCATTATATGCACAGCTTTTAATATTCGGAGACTTTTTGCCAATACACATTTTCACGTGTACTGGGAACTCGGAGCCCATACACAATGTATTATTGATAGGATTGTAATTTACTCCTCTTGGGTTGTATCTACAGTGTATACCATTAGCAAAAAATATTAAATTACCATTGCTTGTATATATTTGTCTACTCAGGTTTGGTTCAATGATATTTGCTTTGCTCTTCAATAAAAGGCTGTGAATACAGAGAGCAGGTAATGTTATTTTGTTGTTGCTGCTGCTGCTGTTGAAAGGGTGTCTTTGATTAAACTATTTCCCCAACACTATGTTTGTGCTGAACCATACTTTGCAGCCAGGACAGGAGACATAGAAGACTGAGGCCTTGGAAGGGAAGATGGATGGGCAAGGCTCTCCAGCTCCCACACTTTTCCCTGACAGGCTACTCCAGGTTAAGCACAGGGGTTTTTGCTCTGTGCGAGAGACCAGCAATCTGTGCTGTCAGAGGGAGGGCATGATCTGTTCAGACCTCATTGCCAGACACGTGGAGGCCCAGTCCCAGCAGAAACTGTGGAGCTGGGATTGGAGTGGGATTCAGGGTGTGTGGACAGAGTCCTTGGCTATAGCCTCATGCCCTAGACTGCTATGTAGTCTTTACTCTCCTGTTATCATTACCAGCTGCTTTGGAGCTTCCCCGCCCCCCCCCCTGAGCTGGGTTACACAGAAACACACAAGCGTGTTTCCTTCTCTAGAAAAGAACTCAGGCTATGGGGTCCAATCAACTCCACCCATGGAAATATCCCATCATGACTGCCTGGCACTTTCTTTGTTCTATCCTTTGGATTTCTCGCTGAAGCCAGATCAGAGGGCCTTTGGCAGTTAGCGAGCTCAATACCCAGACCACCATGGTCTCCCCCGAGGCAGGTCCACTATGTAATTTTTATGAGCAAACAGGTTTCCTTTTAAAATACTTGTGGCTTGGTCTCCCTACCCCTTTGTGGGGTTCAGCATAGCGCTGGTGATGAACGGAGTTTGACATTTATAATAACTAGAAGCAAGAGGGTAAGACATTTAAGATAAATGTTTTTTCCCTCTGGTGCAGTATGAGGAACTCATGAGGCTCTTGGGCAGATGGGCTGGGGAGGCCAAGAGGCCACAGGGGGCGGGCATTCAGGGCACAGGGTCTTGGATAACAAAGTGGTCTTCACACTCAGTTCCTGAGAGAAATGGCAGCTATGGGTTCTGTTGAGCCTGGCCACACAGGGCATCTTCTGGAGGTGAAAGGTGGGTTTCCTTTGGTGGGTTTTGTTTAGTATCTGCCTTTTTAGCCAGGTAGGTCCTCAAGCAGACCCCTCCATTGAAGAAGGGGCAATTCCATAAAGAGTTTATCTGGACAGGTCCTTCGTACTAAGTGAACTTATGCCCCCCACCCCACTCCAATCCTACATCTTCTTCCCTGAAGGAGAAGAAATGTGGTGTTTAAAACAAGAAATGAAACAAAATGTCAGTCACTCAGGGTGTGTACAGCCAATGAAATCAGTGCCACATCTGTCAAAGAAAATCATAAACCATGACAACCAAGAAGTGTCTGTCCTCATCACATCCCAGATTCCCACACAGCCTCATGTTTTAAGCACATGTTCTGGTGCAGAGGGACCCATGGAAAGGCAATTACATTTGGTGAGTGATTAAAGTCGGATCTGCCAGCTTTACGTGTCAAATATGTTTAAATGCATTAACCTTTACAGAATTTATACTACGTGCTGAGTTATATCCTGTACGGTGTCAGGAAGATCTGGATCCGCCTTCACTTAAGTCTTATTTACATTTATTTTATTATAATATTAAGTAGACTTAAATAACCTTAATGGGGATTTCCTCCCCAATTATACAGGTCTTGTTGGCACTGTGAGGGGTCTGAGGGCAATAGGGTCCCTGGCTGGTTGCTAATGATGTCCCAGCTACCTCGCCGGAATCCCTGGGGAGAGAGGGAGTCAGGAGGACCTCCTTGAGGCTCCTGTCTTGTGATTTTAACTCCCAGGGGAGCAGGCTCCAGAGACTGACAGCACAGGGCATAGTCAGGGAGGCTCCTCAGCTGACAGGCAACTTTTAATTTTTATAAGTGACAGGGAATACACATTTCTGCAGCATCCGTTTTTAGGGAGAAAGGCCACACAGCTCTCCTTGGCGGCTCTCCTTGGCGGTGTTTTCTTGTCTGCAGCCACCTTCTCTCTGCAGGAGGGTGCACGCTGCCAATGTCTTTAGTGATGGAGTTTTTCCCATGCTTTTTGGTTCGCCGCTGGTAGCTCCATGCCTCCTGAGCTTCACTCCACTGAAATCTGGTTGGCATAAGACAGACTCCGGTGGAATGAAGGACAAGAGGACCCATGGATATTGTCTGGGGCTGTCTGTCTACCAGGCCTCCTCTTGCTGTGCTGTGTGTGACCTGGATGAGACCAGGCTCCTGCAACCACACTCTTAAGAGGATGGTGAGAACCTGAATGTTCAAACACCCACGAAAGCATCCTTGTTCCCACCCCAGAGCTAGACCCTGGTGGATGGTACAGCCAGTGCTGCAGGAACACCCTCGGTGTATACCTAGTCAGGATGCTGGTTGTCCTTTTCGATGCATGGGCCATACCAGAGCCGGGTGTGTCTGGTGATGTCTAGAGAAGGCAGGTGCTCTCTGCCATTGCTTACCAAGGGGCTAAAGGCAGGGGCACAGGCATTCTTCTGAGAAGCTGCTGTGCAAGGGCATGAACGGCCCGGTTCAGGCCTGTGCACCCGTATGAAATCAAGACAGGCCGAGGAAGGACGAGGACTCTGCTGGAGCAGGCCCATTTATTGGGGGTGGGGTGGGTGGTGGAAAGAATTCTTGGTCCTCTTCCCATAGACTTGTCTGGGAAAGTCAGCCTCTGATGGCCATACACCTTTCCCCCAGATCTGTACAGAATCAGTGAACGGGCTTTTCCAGGGAGCCTAGGGTAGGGGTCAGAGGAAGGAGCTACCTCAGGAGGCCATGTAATACCCGCGGACTTTCTGTCCCTGCCCCGAGGCAGGAACAACTTTGCAGGGACTGTGCTGGCCTCAGTCTTTGCTGTGTTCAGACTTGTCCGCAGCTCAGCGTAACCCTCATAAAAGGCTGCTCTAAGTAGAGACATGCAGACTGGGTGGGGAGGGCTGATCTGCCTTGTTTGGAATACTTTGCTTCTTCCTGGGCTTGTTCAGACCTGACTGAGGGGCTCCTCCTCCCTCATCCAGCCCCCGGGGCATCAGGCCTCTGAGAAAGCCTCTTACACAAAAGCAGTGGTTACCAGCTATGGTTAGGGAAGACTCTGACTTTCCCTAGGCCCAAACTAGATCATCCTCCTCAGAGTGTGCACAGGGCTCACTGGAAGGCAGGGCGCTGTGTGCTGAGGGCAAGAGGTTCAGTGAATCTTCTCCTGCTCAGCCTTCTAGTGAACACTTACTGCTTAAGAAGTGTGCTCTGCCTGTGAGTTATCTAGACCACTTAGGCCCCACACCACCTTTGACCCACTTCCTAGTGAAAGGGAGAAAGACACCAGTTTTCCGGCTTTGGCCAAGGAAGGCAGGAGACTGTGGGAGGTGCTCTGGAATGGAATGGAAGGAGTCTTGGCTTCTGTTTGGATTTCACAGCTCCGTTCTGAAAGCAAAGGGGGCCATCATTAGTTCTCCATCCAGACCCTCCTTAAGCTGTGTACGTCAGATTCCTCAAGTCCACAATTTGAGATCCTCACGCTTCCAGTAAAATCCAGGGAAGAGAAGAGTTGATAACGGTGGCAGGCCATATGAACAGGGCAGGGGGTGGAGGCACTTAGGAAAGGCTTGCCCTCCCCTCATCATGTCCCTCTGGATCCTGTAGATCTGTAGCTGCTCTAAGAAGAGTTGGCCTAGAACCTGGATCCTGAGACCTGACCCACCCTGAGCCACAAGCATCTAGTATTCAAGTTACCCGCTCAGCAGGCCTCCACCAAGGTAATCCAATCCCCCAGTGACTTCTGTAGCAGTATTGGGTTGGGTCGGAGCCCCACAAGACTCATGTTGGACTATAGGGTAAGTTTTAGCCAGGGACCGCTCTTCCACCTGCCTTCAGGACTGTCCCATAAAGGTCTTTAAAAGTCATCTTTGACTTGAGAACCACAGAAGGGAAGCAGGCCTTGCATTTGCTACGAGGGCTGCACCCAGAACCCCAGGACTAGGCAGCCAGACACACATTCCTTTAGTGGAGCCAAACCCCGGGGGAGGGGGGGGAGCTAGGAAGCTAGACAGAACGGCAGAGCTGCTGCTCAGCTGCCTGGAACCTGCCTCCTCCATTACTACCAAGATTTACCACCCAGCAGCTCAGAAATCCTCAGGAAAACAGCGGAAGTTAATCATTGACTTCCAAGTGAAGAGGGCCTTTCCCAGTCTTCCCTTGACACACACTTAAGATCCCCAGGGTCTAGCCACTCACCCGCCAAATCCAGAGAGTTCAGACTCACCTGTAAGTACACAGGAGTAACACCTATACCTTCCGACATCGGGCTCAGCTTTTGCCTTTGATGCAAAACAGTGCATCGTTTTCTGTCTTAAGAGAGTGCCAAGCTGAAAGATTGTTGAAGAATCCTGGGTTTAAAAAAAAAAAGAATTTTAAGTTTTGGGAAAGTCTTTTTGCCCTCAAGAATTGAGGACCGGAAGAAGAAAGAAGAGCCTGTTCTACTGGGTACCCAGCTCAGCAGCCTGGGCAGAGCAGAAGTTGGTCCTGGAGAAAGGGACACGTGGTCCTTCTAGTAAAGACAATGGGAAAGTAGGAGAAAGTGGAGGCCAGGGGGCTAAGGGAAGGGAAGCCGGGAGGGAGAGGGGGTGGAGTGCCGAATAGAGCTTCCCCACAGACAGACAATAAAAGAGAAACTGGTTTTTCCAAAGGCAGGGGTGAGGAGGCGGCACCGGTCTCTATTTATGCACCTCTCAGCCAAGCATCTAGTTACCTGCTGAGCCCAGCCAATGGAGAGAGAGGACCCGGCTGCTGGCTCCGCCTCCCAGAACCACACCTGGGGCGGGAGAGGGCATGCTTGCTGAGGTCTTTTAGGCAAGCTAACCTTATTCTCTCGTCTTTGTTCGGTAAACACCAGAAAAGGCAGGCGGGGGTGGGGGGCGGGATGGGAGGGTGGTCTCTGTCTACCCAGAGAGAGCATGTAGGTTATCTCAGCCTTGAGCTGAAAACTCCAGCTCTGCGCGCCCCTCCACCCCAAGATTAGAGGGAAAGGAACTGTTCAGATCTGAACTCGGAGTCATGGATGCGGTGCCTACACCCGCGCAGAGCTGCGTAGGGAGCGGGAATCAAAGCCCTCTGGCACCTTTAGCAGAGTACCTAGCCACCAGCCTGTGTGGAGCTGCAGGATGAGGCCTGAGGGTCAGAGCTCTTGTGACCTTGTGGCTTGCCCTGGTTTTAGAACCCAGGAGGCCTCCCAGCCTGTTCTTCCTTTCCTTAGTGGGATGGGAGGGCCTCTGTGCCATGTGAGAGGGAACTGGGGAGACCAGGGAACTGGGGAAGGACCCAGCAAACCATTAAGCTGGTCTGTAAGCCATTGTTGGGTCTACCTCCTCACCTTGTCTTTTTACTCCTGCTCACCCGTCCCGCCCCCTCTCCCTCTTCTTCTCCCCTCCCTCCCTCACCACCTCTCCTGCTCCCTTTCTGCCTAGTCTTCCTGGAGGGCGAGGGATATGGAAGTCTCTCTAAAAGAATCCCTAGAGTCTTCTGCTTGTTCTCAAAGTAGACCCTTGCCGAGCCAAAGCAGACGTCCCTGTTAAGGTGGAAGCTTTGCCCCAATCGCTGGCATCCATGAATACCCAAAGAGTCTGGGGTGTTCTGGTGGAGGGTCCACCCCAGCACCCTCCCCCAGAGATGCTCAAGACCACTCCCACAGGGTGTTTAAACTGCACTCCCCCAGAAACTAGACTGTTGGTTTTTCTGGTCTCCCTTTCCCTATATCCTCGGGGGGGGGGAGGGAGGCATCCAGTAGCGCTGTATCCATTAAACGTGGGATTTTTTTTTCTAGTTCGGTTTTTATTTGGCCTGATTTGGATTGACACATCAGCGGAGAGGCTTATCGGGGTGTGGAAACGTTCCCACTCCCTTCTCAGGAGAGTTAAGGAAACGCAGAATACAGTTGCAGAGCAACCAACGCAGAGCGTGTTGGACCTGCCCTGCTCCAAAGCCCCTCACAGAACCTGCTCCAAGTCTTCTCTCTTTGCCATCTGCTAACCCCAAACTCTTAACAGCCAGGGAAGAGACCGATGAGGCTTATGAGGCATGCGTCTATAGCCAGTGTGTGGTCACGATGCATGTCTGCCTGGGGTCTGCCTGGCTTCACTGGCCTGCAGTCCCTGCAAATGGTGTATGGGAGGGTCTGAACCCCTCCTCTCTATCCCTCTCCCCCAGGCCTTTCTCTTCCTCTTTCATTCCATTCCTTTGAGTTTGTCTTCTAAGCTCTCCCAACTCCATAACACCCTTCACGAACAGTCCCAGAGACAGAGCAGTAAGATGTGACGAGTGTCCACTCAAGGGAGTAATCGGCTTCCATCTCCGAGGCCTGGGGAAGGGATCCACAGGGAAGGTGCCTTTGAGCTGAATGGGAGAGGGTAGACAGCAGAAGAGGACGGCGGGAGCTGTTGGAATTAAACTTCTGAGGTAGGAGACCTCCCAATGGTCTAGAGCCACTCTGAGGCTTGGAGAAGCAGCAACAGGACAGAAGCCTTTAGAGGAGGATAGCTTCTGGGCGGGGCCTGTGAGCATTGTCTGCAGGAGGTGGAGTGTCCCAAGTGTCTTGAAGCCTGGGAATGAGTGGCCAGAGCTGTTTCTTAGGGGCAGGCATAAATGTGGCTGGTCCCAGGGTATGGGGAAAGAGAGATAGGGCAAAAGCCAGACACAAACCCTGCTGGCCTCACATCTCTCCGGGTGTCATCTTTGACACCCCAAATGTGTTGAGAAAATAAAATCTGCATTTGGCTGGACTCTCAACTACTACTTTCTTTTCATCTACTTCGCTCACCACAGCGGAATGGATGGCCTGCGGGATGGCCGGCCCTGGTGTGTGCTAGCATCTGGGGGGGGAGGTACACAGGGGTAATTCTGCTGGAAGCCACCTGTCTTCTAGTTCTCAGCCTAGCTTTTTGCCCCAGAAGCCCTGAGTGCCTTCCTCCCCTAGTACCATATCCGGGTCTCTTAAGAAGCATTAAATTCCCAGACAATTTATGGCCATGCTAGGTAGGTAGAGAATGGGAAGGAATTTGGGGGGTGGGTGGAAGAAGTCCAGGACTGCCTCTTGTCTCCACTTCAGTGTTTCCATAGTAACGGTGACTTGTTCCCTCTTCTTTACCCCAGTCTTGTAGCTCTCTCTCTCTCTCTCTCTCTCTCTCTCTCTCTCTCTCTCTCTCTCTCTCTCTCTCTCTCTCTCTCTCTCATGTGCTTTCTATCCCTTGGCCCTCATTTCTTTTTTTCCTGAACACACCCAAGCCTGAGGTTCTGTACAGTTAGAAATCGTTGGTCCCCTGTGTGCTGGCTCCTGGGAACACACTGTGTGCAATTCTCTGCCGGTTCTTCTGGCTCCATGCGGTGCTCATAGGAGAGTCTGTAACAGGTCTTTCTGAAGTAGAGAATACAGGCTGTAAGCCCATCTAATTTGCCACTTTCCTGGTCTGCCTGCACCTGGCATCTTGAAGTTCTGCTAAATCCATAGTAGCTGGTGACCTAAAGGAGAGGCTGCTACACTGGGAGGGTACAGGAGGGTTAGTCTGACGTGGCATGTTCTCGGGAAGCTGCTGCAGACAGCAGGGCATGGCCTTGCAGGGAAGGTAACGGGAGTCCTGCCTCTCAGATAGTCCCTGGGGCTCGGAGTCTGTAGGGAAGCACGCTCATGCTGCTGCTTCCAACCCTACCTGTTCTGTTCTGGGACCCAGAAAGGAAATGTGTGAGTGTAAACCGAGAAGGTACGGGTTAGCTGCAGCAGAAAGACAAAACAACAGCCCAAACAGGGTTGGAGCTTGCCCCGAACTTCATAGAACTCAGCATTGGGACACGGCTGGGAGCAGAGAAAGGTCTTTCTTTGATTGCACTCTTAGAAATATGAGACGGGGGAGCAGGGGTGTGGCTTTGTGATGGAGTGTTTGCCTTGCATGCACAAAACCTGAGTTCTATTCCCAGAACTGTGAAAACAAAGATGAAAGGAAGGAGGAAAAGAAGAAGGGAAGGAAGAAAAAAAAGGAGGGCTAAGGATGGTAGCTCACTTAGTAGACTGACATGCACAGAGGTAGCTCAAACCAGACATGCACAGGCACGCATGCACGTGTACACACGCACATGCACGCGTGTGCGTACACACACACACATTCACACTACCTCTAGGAGTGTAGCTCAGTGTGAAGGAAGGAAGAGAGGGAGGGAGGAAGGAAGGGTGACGAGACCAAATGATAAAAGTGATGGCATCCCTGCTCACCCTGTTGGTCAGGGTAGTTTTGGTTCTATTACTGTCCCTTATGAACTTCACATTTTTTAGAGCAGAATCAATCCAACCAGAAAGTGGGATTCAAGTGGAAATAAGGTGACTTGGTCAGGGAAAAGGCCACCTCAGAAGGTTGGGCACTGGATCTGCAGGAGCGATACTTGGGGAGAGACCAGGGTAGACTATGATGTACATTTTTAAAGTCATAGCCACACGCCATGCCCTTTGTGGCCTCATGTGTTTCCAGATGCTCAGAAGTGGATACTGAGGCAGCCATAGCAACAGAGGAGACTGAAGTCCATTCATTTGAGGCTGACTCTTATGGAGTCAGCAGAAGGACCAGCAGTGTCGTACGTACCCACCCTGCCCATGTGGACTCCCACTAGGGCTGCAGGACACCTGTCTGAATGGTAGCTGAGGGCCTGTGCCCCCTCAGCACATCCAGCCAGCTCTTCCTTCCTCCTTGGATGACCTTCCCTGCTCTGCCTGAGCTGCTGAGCCCGTGTAAGGCTGTGCAAACAGACGCGGAGATGGGGTGAGACTCCAAGAGTCAAGCCTGCTGTGCTGGTTCCAGAAGCCACACTGCCACCGCCATGCACTGACCCTCTGTGACCTCTGAGAGCCAGTGTCACACACAGGGGACTGCATGCTGAGCCGCTTCTTTGCCTACTCCCCATACCTTTGAGGTGCAGCCCACCAGTGTGCCAGGAGACATTTGTAACCTGGAGACAGGGGGTTTGGGTGAGGCTCACCAGGGCACCTTACTGTTACTACCCTTCACGCCCCTGCTCCCTCCAGTCCAGCATGCACCAGAGGCTCGACGCTTTCCTGCTATGAGGAGCCCCCTGACATCCCACCTACCCTCCCTGCCTCCAGGTTGAGGCTACAGGCCCGCATTTCCTGAGATGGGCTTGTTCTCTGCAGAGTGCTGGAGGAGAGAGGCAGGCTGGAGCCTGCCCTGTTTATGCTTTGCTTTCTGGACCTTTCCGCGCAAGCTCTCCTGGCTTTGCAGCTTAGAAGGGCCCACTAAGACCACCCACCCTTGCCGATGACAGAGAAGGGCCTAGCAGACCTCCAAGTACCTCGAGGTGGAGCCAATTGAGATTACTCTGTTCTGGATGCCCCGTACTTTTTATTTATCCCCTCCCCCTCATTTACAGTAGAGCAGGTGTGTTTGCTAGGCAACTGCTCTAAGGTTGAACTGCATTCCTAGCCCTCCCTTGTACTCCTTTGTACTTCTCATTTTGAGGCAGGGACATGCTAAGTTGCCCAGGCTGGCCTTGAACTTGTACTTCTCTTAAGCCTCAGCCCCTCAAGTGTTGGTATTAAAGATCTGCAACACCACCACAGCTCTGTTCCCAACATTTTGCAGACTCCTACAAAACACCGACATCTACAGTGGGCTACCAGCCTTCTGGGAGTCGGAGGTT